ATAGCGTTCCTCCCTGAGCGCGCGGTCGCTGCTCCACTTCTCCTGCCTCTCAGGCTTGCAGCGCCAATCAGCTGTTTGGCGCCGCAAGCCTGGGAGAAGAATTAGAGCGGGGGCAGCGTGCTCGGGGAGGAGGTGGAGCAGAGGTGAGCTGGGGTGGGGAGGTGCCGCACGGCTCCCCGGGCCAGGGGGGGAGGTGTGGAGCTGCCGCAGGGACAGGTGCCTTGGGGGAGGGAGCTGCTGTAGGGCTCCCCACCCCAGCTCACCTCTGCTACGACCCCTCCCCGAGCATGCCATCGCTGCTCCACTTCTTCTACCTCCCAGGCTTGCAGCACCAATCAACTGTTTGGCACCGCAAGCCTGGGAGGGGAGGAGAATTAGAGCGGGGGCGGCGTGCTCGGGGAGGAGGCAGAGCAGAGGTGAGCTGGAGTGGGGAGCTGCCGCATGGATCCCCGGGGCTGGGGAGCTGCCGTGGGGGGGGGGGGTGCCTCAGGGTGGGTGGGGGGAGCGCCTCAGGGCAGGGGTGGGCGGGGAGCTGCCACAGGGCTGGGGGGGTGCGCAAGGTGGAAGTTTCGCGCCCTAGGCGAAACTTCCTTGCACTGGCCCTGTATATGCGCCATCATGTGCCAGCAATGCCCCTCTGCTATGTACATCGGCCAAACTGGACAGTCCCTACGTAAAAGGATAAATGGACACAAGTCAGATATTAGGAATGGCAATATACAAAAACCTGTAGGCGAACACTTCAACCTCCATGGACACACAATAGCAGATTTAAAGGTAGCCATCCTACAGCAAAAAAACTTCAGGACCAGACTTCAAAGAGAAACTGCTGAGCTTCAGTTCATTTGCAAATTTGACACCATCCGCTCAGGATTAAACAAAGACTGTGAATGGCTAGTCAACTACAAAAGCAGTTTCTCCTCCCTTGGTGTTCAGACCTCAACTGCTAGAAGAGGGCCTCAGGCTCCCTGATTGAACTAACCTCGTTATCTCTAAACTGATTCTTGCCTGCATATTTATACCTGCCTCTGGAAATTTCCATTACATTCGTCTGATGAAGTGGGTATTCACCCACGAAAGCTTATGCTCCAATACATTTGATGGTCTATGAGGTGCCACAGGACTCTCTGTTGCTTTTTACATAAATTTGGTACCACCTGTCACAGTTTAGGGCATCTGCACCTGTAGTCCTCCTCTATGGTCCAGCAAGGGTGCCCCCTGTCCGACTTCCAGCTCCCCAGCCGTTCACTGTCTTTCGTGGAGACACACATCTTTCTCCCTTCTGACCCGGTATTTCCAGATGGAACAGTCCTCTGACTATCCTGTAATATCCCCAGCAAAAGAGAACCTGCCTAAACAGGCTTCTTTTGGCTTCTCTTCTGAGACGGTTGACAGTGTAATTTCCACAGTCAAGTTACTACATAGTTCTTTCTAATCAAGCGCTGTTTATTATTAAAGTAAAAGCAGTATAGAGAAAAATGTATTAAAACAATAAAAGAACCAACAGACCTGCTAATAAGCTAACCAGAAATCACCTCAACTCCAGCATGGGCTCTGACAGGGGAGCAGTCATCAAAATGCCACTCTGGGACTTTCCTGTGGTTTCAAGTTCATAACATTCTCTAATCAGAACAAGAACTCTCATGACTGTGAGTCACTCATTTATCCAGTTTGGGCCTTTGAAGAGACCATGAATAGGTAATCAACCAATGTTTTTCTGCTCAAGGTGGAGCTTCAGAAGGATGGATTAGGAGGTGGGTCATTTGCATTTCCCTTCACTCCACGTTTCCTAAGAAATCCACTTCACAAGTATTGTCCCAATAAATCCTTTGAAGTTTCTAATATTTCCCAGAGATAGCATTAATCCCGTTTTCCTCTTAACAAAATTTTATTCAGTCTCACAATAGTATATAAACGTTGTGATTTTTAATATAATGAGCTCCTAAAATACTTAATCCAGTAAGGTTTACTTAACTCCATAAGGTTTGCCAGGATATTGCAAGGTATTATCCAATCTGTCACACCATTCCCTCCAATGATCTCTTTCCCTTTTCTATATGAGCAGTTTCTCAATGGACTTGGCACATCCTCTTTCACTGTGGCCAAACAAGTGAAACTAGGG